TCGTAGTAGTGGTAGTGGATGTAGTAGTAGTACTCGTGGTCGTAGTCGTAGTAGTTGCCTTTAAACAATTTAAATGAGTATTGGTAATATTGGTTTTTGTTGTAGTGGTTGTGGTAATACTAGATATGATGTATATATAATGCAAGAAAGTGTGATAGTGGCAAGACTCGTGACAATTGTACTAGCAATAAAGAGAACAGGTCGTAGTAGCCGCCGTAGTCGTAGTCGCAGTACCGGTGGTCACACGAACCGTCGTCATCACGATAGTGGTCGTAGTAGTAGTATTATTATTAATAGTACTAGTAGTAGTAGTAGTAGTAGTAGTAGTAGTAGTAGTAGTAGTAGTAGTGGTAGTAGTAGCGGTAGTAGTAGCGGTAGTAGTTGAAGCAGTACTGATAATAGTAGTGGTAGTCGTGGGGATAAAAATCTGATAGCAGTAGTAGTAGTAGTAGTAGTAATAGTAGTAGAAGTAGTAGTAGTAGTAGTAGTAGTAGTAGTAGTGGTAGTAGTAATGATCGTAGTAGTCGTAGGTCGTAGTAGTAATAGTAATCTGAGTAGTAGTAGTAGCAGTGGTAGTAGTAGTAGTGGTAGAAGTAGTAGTTGTAATGGTAGTACCAATAATACACAATAGTAGTAGCCGTGGTGGTAGTAGTAGTCGTAGTCGTAGTCGCAGTAGCAGAGAAGTCAAATACTACTGGTGTAGCAGTAGTGCTGGCAGTGGTGGTCGACGTAGTAGCAGTAGTAGTAGTAGTAGTAGTAGTAGTAGTAGTACTAGTACTAGTACTAGTAGTAGCAGCAGTAGTCGCAAATATAATAACAAGAGTAAAGGTAGCAGTAGTACCAATATTCATCTGAATAATGATAGCATTCGTCGCACGAGTAGTTCCGATTGAAGTAGTCGTAGTAGCCGTACTTGTAGTACGCAGAGTAGTAGTATAAGTAGTAGTAGTAGTAGTAGTAGTAGTAGTAGTAGTAGTAGTAGTGTTCGTACTAGTGGTAGTGGTAGTAGTACTAAGAATGCTGATAATAACTTACATGGTAGTAGTGGTACATACTCAGAATGCTGGTAATAACCCACAGGAACCTAATAATACGAGTAGTAGTAGTGGTCGTAGCAGTAGTAGTAGTAATAGTGGTAGTAGTAGTGGTAGTAGTGGCAATACTAGCAGTAGCAGCAGGAGTAATAATGGATAAAATAGTAGCTGTAGCGGTGGTCGTGGTATATAAACCGTCGCGGTGGTAATAGTAGTGGCAGAAATAACAACAATAGTAGTGATCGTAGTAACAGTAGTAGTAGTAGTAGTAGTAGTAGTAGTAGTAGTAGTAGTAGTAGTAGTAGTAGTAGTAGCCGTAGTAGCAGTAACAATAATCATGATCATGGTTGTAATAATGGGTGTCGAAGTCGTAGCAATATGAAGGATGGTAATAGCACTAATCATCGTAGTAGTAGTCGTAGTCGTAATAATAGTCGTAGTGGAAAAAGTAACCTTAGCAGGCGTAGTCGTAGTAGTCGTAGTAGTAGTAGTAGTAGTAGTAGTAGTAGTAGTAGTAGTAGTAGTAGTAGTAGTCGTAATAGTAGTAGTAGTAGTAGTAGTAGTAGTAGTAATAGTAGTAGTAGTCGTCGTCGTCGTAGTAGTAGTAGTAGAACTAATGCGAATAGTAACAATACCAATCGAACAAATAGTAGAAATCGTGCAGATGGGATCCCGTGCTCTTAAGGGTTCTGCAGCTCATGTTCGAATTCCATAGAATCATAAAACACTAAAATGGTGCCGTCGTTTGTGGGCCTCTCAGCCTTGAACTTGTAGGAAGTCTCAAGGGAGGCTCTTTTCTTCTGAGTGAAACTCAAGGAAGTCTTGAGCGGGAGCGCCATGTCTGAATGGAATCGGAGGACGTCGAGTGGGAGGAGGAGGTGGAGGAGGAGGAGGAAGAGGATCAGGAGGAGGAGGAGGACGAGGAAGAGGAACAGGAGGAATTTGTTGGTACGCGCATGCCTGTCGATTGGCCTTCTCCATGGGCGCGACTCCGTGTATGTTGACGCATGTGCCTATGCCTTTAGATGGCCACCCAAAAAGTAACCATGGCCACCCCTACAGGAAACATGAGTAGCCCAACAAGTAAACAGGACCAGCCAAAACTTATACAGGACCACTTCGAACGTACACATGAACACCCCGAAAATAAACAGGACCACCGCCCCCCGAAAGTCTAAGACCACCACTCCAAGGAACCCCCATGTCCGTAGGGATCCGTCTGGGATTTTTCTATATGGAACAAATGCTTTTTCTGGTGAGCCTGGAGGATCTCCGATTCCCATCGGGCTCCTGAACCAGAGGAATCCTTCTTACAATGCTGGCGAAACCCAGTGGGCTCCATTGTCCAGAATGCATCCTGATAAATCTATGATGAAAAAATGCTTACCCCGGCGAAGCATGAGGAACTCCACTTCCCACGGGATCCTGAATCCCAGATTGCTTTCTGCCGAATCCCGACGACCTCC